GTCGCGGGACCTGCGGACCCGGGGCTCGCCGTCCCCTTTCTTAGCCTGGGACCTGAGGCGCCTCGCACCCTTGAGGAAGCCCGACTGCGCCGGAGACGAGTGCAAAGATGAGGCAGGGGAGAGGCAGCCCGAGGGGAGCAGAACAACTTTGAATTTTAGTTTTAGTTGCCTCGCGCCCCTCGCCTCCCGCGCGCCCCTTCCCCAAAACAACTTTCTCTTCCGGGGTCAGGCGGGACCGCCCCGATCCCCGGGGTCGGCGAGGCTGGGAGGGGTCTCCGCCGCCCCCCTGCCGCCTCCTCGGCCCCTCGTGCGCTCGCCGTTCGCAGACGCCGCCGAGTGTGGCTCCCGCGCGGCTGCCGGCCCTAGCCGAGCGCGCCGGTCCGCGGGCACCGCCTGCAGGCTGTGCAACCTGGGGACACATCTCCAGCGGGCATTGTTTATGTACACGGGAAAAGGAAACCCCCGTGCGGCCGAAAGTGTAGGGGTGAGCGTCGGCGAGATTCTCCAGGGTGTGGGTGCGCCCCCATCAGGAGCCCAAATGTCCCAGTGCGCCGGCCGAGGTGAGTTTCGGAGCCCGGTGTGCCCGGCCAGAGGTTTGGCCCCTGGCGGTTAGCCTGGGCTGGTGTCCGGGGCTAAGCTGGGGAAGTGGTGCAGGTCCCGCGGGACCGCCTGGCGAGCATCTTCCGTCCCGCTTCTGTCGTCGACACCGACACCCAGTCCCTTGCAAAGGGTAGTTTGCAGCCGAAGAAGGATTAGCTGGGAGGACCCTGGAGGGAATGGATAATGACCACCATTCTTAAGACCCAGATTCATGCCCAAGGTCAAGGGCCAGAAGCCTGTATTGCCCCTCGGCTCCTGTAGCTCTTTGTGTGGCACTCACTCTCTCGGAATAAAACGAGCTCCTTCCTAAAGGGTCGCCCACCGGGTCAAAGTCGATCACATGGATGGATCTGTGACTCCCCTCCTGGCTGCCCCCTAGTCCTCTCACTTTCCCCTTGCAGTGAGTGTATGCCGACACCAGATTCCACCTGTGGCCGCTGCCACCCTCATTCCCGCCTCCAGCTGCTAAAGATAAAATCTGGAGCCATAGAATCTGCACTTCTGCCGAAGACTGAATTTTGGTCTGAAACAAGTTTTTGCAAAGCGTAAGTGGCTTCACAGGCTCTCCTCTTAGTTCCAGCTGTGCACAGGGCAGTTTCTCCTGGGTGAGTGGGAGAGGACTCTTCATTTCACCTCTGCTAGGAAGGTTTTTCTACCCCCAGCATTATTACCTTAACTCTAAATCCATGCAATCCCTAAACTACATTGCCCTACCCACTTCCCACTCTCTTTTGTTTGTCCTTATGTGGTTCCTACATTCTCTTGAAAGGCTACCTGGACTTTGAACCTTAGCCACTCTTCCTTCGTTCTTGCACTCCAGAAACCCATTTTTGTGCCACCTTTAGTGGAAAGTTCCTGAGAGTCTGAGTCTGTCATGGTAAGCAAGCCGCTGTCTGCAAATTTCCCAACTGCTTTAAAGAGGACGGAAGGGAGGAAGTCAGACTCCTTTATCTTAGTCTTCTACTCACTTCCAGAGATTATCACACTAGTTATTTTGATAAATGCCAAATGTGTTTTAAGGATCTGGCTGGTTTTTTAAAAATTCAAAGCTCACTAAAGCATTCCCTGTGTGCCTCTCCATGGTTCTTACACTCCCTTGTATTATCACCTTAATCCCAAGAGCTGGTCACCTCTTGGATGCCAGGAACAGTCTCACTTGCTTTGTAGATCCCTGGTACTGCTACAGTGCTATGTGCACACTATATGGTCAGCACTGTATATAGCACCTGTGTTGGCTCTATGGAAAGTCAGTGGCAGAATCCTTGACTTCCCTTGTTTCTAAGGATCTGCCAAGAGCTTGAAACATTAGTCTGGTAAGAGAGAGAAAAAATGAAAACATCTTGTCAGCTGGAGAATAGGGAACCGATTTTTTAACCTCCTGAAGAATGTTAAGATTTCTGTGTTGATATAATTTCTAGTTTCTTTCCCATATACAAATGAGTTTTATATGCAATATAAACAAAATTTAAAAGACCATCTAAATCCATTCCTTTTTGGAGTAGTGCAACTCATTCACTTTCAGTGTAAACCATTTTTCACAGTCTTTGGGGGTAGGAAGGTCTGGCTTTGAATTCTGGCTCTGCCACCTAATAGCTTTGTAGAATTGGACAGGTTGCTTAACTTTTATAAGCCTTAGTTTCATCAATCTCAAATGAGGAAATGGTCCATGGGTTGTTAGGATTAAGTGAGACGGTGTAAATAAAATGTTTAGCAGAGTGTTAGGCACACATTGGTTCACTCAGTAAATATTCGCTATGCACTGTGCTAGGTAGCCTTCTGGATGGCTCTCAACCACTCCCATCTCCTGATTGGGTTGTGTGACCAGCTTCTATCTTTATGTCTCTCCAGTCACTCACTTTGGGAAAACCAGCTACTGTGTTGAGCAGCCCAATGGAGATGTTCACATGGCAGGGAATTTGAGGACTGCTTACAACAGCCAGCAAGGAACTGACACCTTTTGCCAGTAGCCATGTGAGTGAGTAATCTTGGAAGTCAATCCTTCAGCCCCCATCAAGCCTTCAAATGACTGTAGCACCAGCCAATGGCTTAATTGCAATCTCATGATAGACTGTGACCCAGGACTACTCAACTAAGCTTCTCCTGGATTCCTAGCCCTTAGAAATTGTGCAAAGCAATGAATGTTTGTTATTTTAAGCTGCTAAGATTTGGGGTAATTTATTACATAGCAACAGATAACTAATAAATGTGCACACTGTGTACCATGCATTGTGCTAGATACAATGAACCAGATAGGTCTTGCTGTCATGAAGCTTACACTCTGAGCTTAGAAGAATTATAAATGTTAAATTAATGTTCTCATTGTTTTTGAACATGATTGTTATTAGTTTTTTAAAAATTGAAAGTCCAAAATAATAGCTGGTAAGATATGGGCAGAATTGGGATTCAGAGATTTGAGCATGTGAATTTTAAAGTGAGGCACCACCACCTATCTATTAGAATTACTAAAGAAAAGATTGACAATCTCAGTTGTTACTGAAGATATGGAGCAACTGGAACTCATGCATTGCTAGTGGAAGTATAAAATGGTAAAGGTAAAACCACTTTCAGAAAACAATTTGGAAGTTTCTTATAAGCATACACCTACCCTAGTGATCTAGTGATTCTACTAGATATTTACACTCACAAAAATGAAAGTATATGTTTATACAAAGGCTTGTCTACAAATGTTGATAGCAATTTTGTGAATAATAGTTAAAAACGGAAAACAATTCTAATAGTTATCAAAAGATGAATGAATAGTCCTGGCCAGTGTGGCTCAGTTGGTTGGGCATCCTCCCATGCACTGAAAGGTTGCTGGTTCAATTCCCAGTCAGGGCACATGCCTGAGTTGCAGGCTCAGTCCCCAGTAGGAGGTGTGCAGGAGGCAGCCGATTGATGTAAAATTCTTGCATCGCTGTTTCTCTCTCGCATCACAAGTGTTTCTCTCTCCTCCTTTCCTCTCTCTCTAAAAATCAGTAGAAAATCTTTTTTTTTTAAAAGATGAATGAATAAACAAAGTATACTATATCAAAACAACAGAATAACAGCAATAAAAGGGGACAAACTATTAGTATGTGTAACAACTAGGATGAATCTTAAAAATACTATGCTGAGCAAAAGAAGTCAGACACAAGAATACATACCATGTGATACATATGTATGTGTGTGTGTGTGTGTGTGTGTGTATGTATATGTATATATACACACACTTTGAATAATTGTTAATTCCAGTGTGTTAAATCTGAAAAGAAAGAAACATCAATTGAGTTATCAAAAAATGTATGTATATATACTTTTGGGGGGACAACATATATATATATATGAATTCTAGAAAATGCAAACTAATATAAAGTGTCAAAACCTAGATCAGAGGGTACNGTGTGTGTGTATGTATATGTATATATACACACACTCTGAATAATTGTTAACTCCAGTGTGTTAAATCTGAAAAGAAAGAAACATCAATTGAGTTATCAAAAAATGTATGTATATATACTTTTGGGGGGACAACATATATATATATATGAATTCTAGAAAATGCAAACTAATATAAAGTGTCAAAACCTAGATCAGAGGGTACCTGTAGCCAGGACTGAGGAGAAATGGGGGGAAAGATTGTTTTGGGGTAATAGAAATATTCTGTATCTTGATTGTGGTGCTGGTTATATGGGAGTATACTTGTATTAAACTTCTCAAACTACACACTTGAAATGAGTGTGTAGAACTTACACATGAATGAAATTAACTTTAAAAGTCAACAAATAGTATACAGGTAAATGTATCCAACAGGCAGTTGTAAATTACTTCAAGGGCTAGGTCATATTGTGTTATTTATTAAGCGCCTACTATCATTCCATGCACTGAGTTCAGCCTTATTAGAAGAAAGGCAGTTATTAAGGAAATTATTACAGTCCTAGTACTACTTTCTTCTTAATCTAGAGAGGCTGATCATTTTTGTCCTATAAAGGGTCACTTGAGTAACCCTCCAAGGTACTTATATGCAAGTAACACAGGCAAGTGAAATTCTATTATAATCAACGCTGGATACTAGGAAGAAGTTTGCATAAGTATTATTCTGAGGTTTCCCTTCTCACTTTCCAGCTACCACAGTCACCCCAACTCTGATCTATG